AAATAAGTTTTTTTATTCCATTTTAACGAGGTGATCGTCGGAATATTATACGTTAATTAAAACAACGATAAAATTAAAAATACCAAAAATAAAATTAGGCCTTGTTTGATTGCTCTTTCTTTTCCATGGAAGATGGAAATTAAAATCCATTTTCATCTTTTTGCATGTTTAATTGACTAAATTTTCCATGAAATTTGTTTTCCACATTTTCTTGATTTTTGAGAAAAAGTTTTTCCCATGGATTTGGTGGGAAAATAATTTCTAGGCAGTTTTTTTTTTTGAAACAAATTTTATCTTCAATTGCAACAAATTATATCTCTTTAATGGACAATTTTCATGAAAAATAAAGTCAAACAAATACCAAAAGATCTAAAATTTCAATATTTTCCAAGTGAAAAATTATAACAATCAAACACAATTAATCGACAATTCCAAATAAGACAGGTTCTAAGCAATTCAATTCCCTAAATTCATTATTCTTTTCACCCAAATTTTATTATTGCAATCAAACGGACTAAAAATGTGGTATCATTAATATATATCATAACCTGATTGGTGACATGTCATAACCTGATTGGTGAAGAAGCCTATTTTCACGTGATTAACCCTTTGCATCACGTGGCCTTGCACGTTGCCTTTTTCAATAAATATCACAACGACGACCACCACCACCACCATCACCTGTACTGTGTTGGAGAGCCTCTTCGTTCCCGTATACACACAGCATATACATACAAATCCATGGTAGGGTAGGAAGGTTAACTCCAACTCCAACTCCAACTCCAACTCCAACTCCCTTTATTATACTAGCCAAGTTTTTCCTTCTTTTAAGAGTAACCTTAATTTTTAATCTCTCATAATTCATGTGATTCTTGTGGGTGGTGGTTGATCGGAGGATGGGATACTTCAGTATGTATTTATCTAAATCTGACGGTCGAGGTGGCTTTGTTTATCTGCATTTGCACCTGCACCTCTCTCTCACAAGGCAATTTTGGATAGTATTTGTGCTTTCATTATTGTAGGGAGGTGCAGATGCTTCTGCAGACAAAAATGGCATCTTGAATCCCTTTAAGGTAAGTAAGAATGCTCCAATTTTTATTTTTTATTTTTTCTTACTTACGTGCACAAAAAGTATTTTCAAAATAAGTATTTCATTTTTAATTTTGATTAAGAAAAAATGTTATTTGACGAACCTCTTTGTAAAAGAGGACGAAAGTATTTTTACACTGCTGCGTTATTCTTGAGTTATTGTATGCACGTGTGCTGATAATCGTATCAAGTTATTTCTCTTTTCTTTCCTTTTTAATCTTAATTGGATTAAGATTGATTGACTTGATTTGATTTGATTTGATTTGTTTTTAATGATTTCGATTCTTTTTCCCACCCCTAGAACAAGTCCGTTTTCAATTTTTGTTTTAGTTTTAGGGTTTGTTTGAGCCCCATTTTTTTTTTTTTAGTTTTAGTTTTAGGGTTTGCTTTCGCTTCATTTTTTTAAAAAAATAAACGTATTTTGTAATAGTGTTATGATGGATGATCTGTAGTTAAAAAATAAAAAAAAATTGAATTTACGTGCAATATTATTTTATTGAAAACTGTATGATTGTAATGAGGTCAAATCATGGAAAAAATGAAGTTCAAACAAGAGCTTAATTATCTATGGCTCAAAATATTGTGTTGCGGAAAGGTGAATATTTGCTCAAGTTCCATTAATTTAAGCAAAATGTTAAAAATCTTATTTTAGTTTATTAAACTTGCACTATTACAATTTCTTAGAAACCAAGCCCTATTTCCCAGTAGGGCGATATCAATTACAATTGTAAATGACAACTTATATAAAACAAGAGCAAACGAGTAACGAATTAAGTCGAGACATAAAATTCTCGCTTCTTGCTCGAGTATTATAGTGTTTGAGACTATATATGATTTATCGCGTGGCTAAACCCATATCAATTTTTATATTGCCGATTATAATATTCTAGTACTCGTGTCTGCAGTGAGATAATTGTCACATTTTTTATATAATAGAAATATAGTTTAATAATTTGAAAATGTGATTGTAACCCAAAGTTGAATAGCATTGTTCTTCTGCTTTCCCGTTATCTTGAGAATAATATTCTTGAGCGTATCAATCGACAGCACTATAGGCCATGGGAATGTGATCGACATTTTATCCCTAACAAAGATCATTTCATAATTTGAAAAATGATAAATCTCTCTAATATATATAAACATGTACATATATATATATATATATGATCTAAAGAGCACTGGTGTTCATTTTATACTAAAAACCGATGACAAATGTTGAGGCCTATCAAATCTTTTTTCGCCAATGAATTATTATGAAATATCACTAGTGTTTAGTATAAAATGAGGATCTCGTTAGATCATTCATTACATTGAAAATAAAGGTTTTGCCAAAATTGTGAGAATATGACATTGATATTTTAGTCCATAATGTTTCTAGCATCTAAAGAATATCTGGAGAAGATTCTTACATTCCACAAAAGTTGCATCACTATAGAACCTTTAAAGTTTACCATTGCTGATTTTTCGTGTTCTCTTCGCATATATTCGGTACGTAATATCGAGCATTGTAATTAATATATTTATTTTTCTTCCTTAATACTATATAATATCTATATTAGTTCATAAAATATAAACGTTACAATTCTTGTACATATTATCAATAAATTATTGTTTACTTGTAAAGAGCCGTTAGAATCCAACTAGCAAGTAACATTGAAAGATTGGTCAATTGGTCATGCCTTGTGTTTGTTCTCTATTGGCTACCAGTTTGAGTCCCCTTATGGATACTGAGGTGAGTACCAGACCATAAATTTCAGAGCCCCGTAGGATTAGTCGAGGTGCTCACAAGCCGGCACATCCACAATTATTAAAAAAAAAAAAAAATCCAACTAGCAAGTAATTTTTTATTTTATTACTAGCAAGTAAATTTGTTGAAGCATAAAATGAACTAATAAATGAATTATCTTGGTATAATAAATGACTTAGTTTTGTGACGGGACGGCTTTGTGGTGGACTTAGTTTTGAAAGAGTGGTTTGCAAGATTACGTTTGAATCTCACGTTGTTCGTGAAAGACTTGTTTAATTAACTTATAAGCACATAATGGCTATATAATGGATTATTCCTTGTGTACAAGGATTTTCTTACTCATAGGTGTTGCGTTAACAGTACCTGTAGTGCCTTTTTTAAGTGATTTTGAACAAGAATCAATGATAATACGTCAAGTGGAATTCTACGAAAGTTTTTTCTATACTTGTAGCACAACTCCTATATAGATGCCTACTCTTCTCATTCTTACAATAAGAAATCTAACAAAAATTCTTTTTTTTAGCATCATAAACTGATAAAAAAATGGCTTTATTACTCAAGTCTTGTTCATTTTTCGCATCAACATTGTCAAAATAATTTTGGCACGTTGGCAAGGTGCATTAGACGGCGCTAAATAAGCTAAAATCTTGTTCTTTATAATGTCCATTGTGGTTCGGTTTAATACAGTATAGCAAATTCGAACTTAAATCTTCTACTAACTTGATAAATCACAGAATCTGCAATGCACAATCTTCCATCACTTCCTTTCTCAATGGTGAAGCCCCTGATCCAATCTCCTTTTAAGGACAAAACACATATTTCTTCACCATCTCCGGCTGCTTCGCCACCTCTATAACACTGGGAGGCGCAACAAACATATGTCTCACTCTGTACTTTTCAATAGCCATTAACATCTTCTTCATATCGTATTTCTCCATCTCCACCACGACATTCCCCTCTCTTTGGACTGCGATAAACCTCTTGATCTGATGTTACCATTAGAAATGTGGCAATGAAATTTCTGTGTGAATACAACACCTTTACTAGTTCCAATAGTCCTGGATGAATACAAAAGGGCTGCAACATCAGTTTGTAAAAAATGATGTCAATGCTAGTCATTCAAATTTTGGATCGATTGTCCTATGAATTGAAGTTTTGGGCTCAGAGATGACAATTTTCCCCATCCCGCCCCGAATGGGGCAAAAACTCAAAGATTGTGCATAATTCTAGACTTTCCAGCTCTTCACCTTTCTTACTTAAGACTCGTTTGAACTATGTCTCTCCGTCAATTAATCAACTATGAACACCTTAGTATATGTTGAAAATCTTGTTACACATTAAAACTTTTACGTACTCTCTTTCATTAAGAGAAGAAATCAAAGCACAATAGCGTAAACGATAAATAGAAGGACAATGCTATATATATATATATATATATATATATTCAACTTTTTACCTAATTTTTGAACAACACTCACAATAGGGTGTGGTAACCACACATTTGAAATTTTTTTAACAACCATGCTACAAGTACATAATGTGTTACCGAATTGACAAGTGGCGGCCCCCTACTTGGGGGGCTCCTGTGGGCCCGGTGCTCCACAATGAGGGCCGTCACTTGTCAATTATGTAAAAAATTATGTACAACAAGAATAATTTATTTTTTATTTATACGGGCCCACGTTCATGTGAGAGGGTGTAACATTTTCGATGCAAAAAATTCGGTACAAATGAAATTGTCCTTAATGGAAATGATCAAACTGCAAGTTCTATGTTCCCCCACACTCGTAAATTGTATAAAGTTCAAAAATTCATTATTTTTGGAGCACGGGGTACACGTTCCCAACTTTGACACTAATTCCACCAAAATAAAATAAAGAAAAAGAGAGAGAAAAAAAGCCAACCAATTTTTACCATTGATCTTGCCAGATTTCATCATCATAGAGATTTAACTTCTCAATTTGGGACCCACTGAAGTTGGTAAAATTTTAGGTAGCCAATTTATCTTGCCAGATTTCATCATCATAGAGATTTACCTTCTCAATTTGTGACCCACCGAAGTTCGTAAAATTTTAGGTAGCCGTGGGGTGGTTGGTGCTTGGTGAGATGGGGACCGAGTCACCCGCGTGGCCCGCACCGCAGGCCTTCATATCCGCCTATATATATGTACACCTATATCCTACTTCTGTACCCACAAATCACACGGCATTTCCTCGTAATCTGCTGTACATTTTTTAATACAAAGGTATGCATTTTCTATTATTGGAAGCATAGATTCAAGATCCAGTGAGATTACTTTCATTTTTGCTCAGATCCATTAAGTTTTTGTACATTAATTGTTCTGATTATAAATTCCTCCATTTGTTTCAAATAGAGTGTCTTTGGTTTTGATTTATTCTTAGATTTCGGGAAAAAAATACGCTAAGTATTCAATTGGTCGGATTGAAGAAATGCTGTTTGATTCAGAATAGCGACGTATAGGATTTCATATTCTTGCTCATTATGCAGATCTATTACGTGTTTTAAAGTCAGAATTAGTAATTTTGGTAAGGATCTGGATTTTAAGATGCAAAGCTTTGATTTGAGTTATGAAAATGTGAAAATATAGGCCAGCAACTGAAGATATACCAGTATGATTTCTGCGGTAGATCTATACATCTTTACAATGTTCGTGTAATATTGTTAGTCCATAAATTTGTTGAGAGGATGCGAACTCTATTTTTCGGGCATGGAAAATTTGGAGCCGGTACCTGAACCACCTTTCACCTTTCTTCTTGTAATAAAATTTTACTATAGCACCGGGGGAAATTTTGCTTTGTTGCTGCATTTCCATGAAGAGGCATTACTTTGAATCACATACCAAAGTTGAAGAGTGAATCCATAACACATTATTATACTGTGATTATAAACATCTCGTAACTATCCCTCTGTTTTCTAATTGTTTTGAGCAATGCATCAACCTTCCAAAGGGAAATGTGTTTGCATGAGTATGGTACCTGGGAGCGTCTGAGATGAATTTTTGCGTATTTCATTGTAGATTATGAGAAAAATCTAAGTTGAGACCATAGTCTTACAGTCGTCTTTGTTAAAGCTTTACTATAAAATCAGAAGGATCAATTTTTTTTAAGATTTTAGTGTTCATGAAATTATTAACAATTCACAAAAAAATTGAAACAAAAAAGGTTCCTACTTTTTTATTACTTAAATTGTTTGAATGTTTAGCATAAACTTACATGTCTCTCTGTATGCTGCTTAGACTCTAGATGGATACCTTCCTCTTCACCTCGGAGTCTGTCAATGAAGGCCACCCTGACAAGCTTTGTGACCAAGTCTCAGATGCCATTCTTGATGCTTGCCTAGCTCAAGATCCAGATAGCAAAGTTGCATGTGAAACCTGCACGAAGACTAATATGGTCATGGTCTTTGGGGAGATCACAACCAAAGCCAATGTAAACTATGAGAAGATAGTTCGGGATACCTGCAGAGGTATTGGGTTCACTTCAGCTGATGTTGGCCTTGATGCTGACAACTGCAAGGTCCTCGTTAATATTGAGCAACAGAGCCCTGACATTGCTCAGGGAGTTCACGGTCATCTCACGAAGAAACCCGAAGAAATTGGAGCTGGTGACCAAGGGCACATGTTTGGCTATGCCACAGATGAAACACCAGAGCTCATGCCACTCACTCATGTCCTTGCCACTAAGCTTGGGGCCAAGCTCACTGAAGTGAGAAAGAACATGACTTGCCCATGGCTGAGACCTGATGGTAAGACCCAAGTTACCATCGAGTACAAAAATGATGGTGGTGCCATGGTTCCTATTAGAGTTCACACTGTCCTCATCTCAACCCAGCATGATGAGACTGTTACAAATGATCAAATAGCCAAGGATTTGAAAGAACATGTGATCAAACCCGTGATTCCTGCTGAGTACCTTGATGACAGAACAATCTTCCACCTCAACCCATCAGGTCGATTTGTTATTGGTGGGCCACATGGAGATGCAGGACTCACTGGTAGGAAAATTATCATTGACACCTATGGTGGTTGGGGTGCTCATGGTGGAGGTGCCTTCTCAGGCAAGGATCCTACCAAGGTGGACAGGAGTGGTGCATACATTGTTAGGCAGGCGGCAAAGAGTGTAGTGGCTTCAGGACTTGCCCGTCGATGCATAGTGCAAGTTTCATATGCTATTGGTGTGGCAGAGCCACTTTCAGTGTTCGTTGATACCTACAAGACGGGTAAGATTCCAGACAAGGATATACTGGCCCTTATTAAAGAGAATTTCGACTTTAGGCCCGGAATGATTGCCATCAACCTTGATCTTAAAAGAGGAGGGAACTTCAGGTACCAAAAGACTGCTGCCTATGGACATTTTGGCCGTGAGGATGCTGATTTCACTTGGGAGACAGCCAAGATTCTCAAGCCTAAAGCTTGAGTTAGTGGGCTGTCAGCGAGACAGTACTTCTGCAAACTGAATTTGCGTACAAATCATACAGGTTTCAGATGAATAAAAATGAGCTCCATGAGATACATAGCTATGATTCGTTCTAGGTCCTGGATTAACGTTTTCCGCACTTGAATTTGAGGGTTTTGGGAGCGTGGAGTATTTGTTAATGCGTTTCTTGTGTTTTCTTTCCATTTTCTTCGTCTCTCTCCTTTATTTTCAGAATGTGTCTTGCAACACCTGAATTGTGTTTTGATATGTATTACTCTGTTTTATTTCATCGAACCATAAATTTTTATTTACTACTGTCTGAATATACTTTATTTTGCTCGAGAAACAGATATCTCTAGTTCTAGAAATATGGCATTTTAGTGATATTTTTTAAGCTCATAACTGTAAGTAAATTTACTAGCAAGTATATTTTGTTAACCTTTGCGAAATATGCACTTAGCCTTCGCCAGCTTATTTTTTGATCGAATTTAACTCGCCCAACATTTCCATGTTCAATACCATGATCAGAGACTACGCTGGAGTAGTGTTTATCAAACTATGCTGTGTTCAGGCTAATTGCCTAATTCCCAACCATTGTGCCTTCGCTTTGTTACCAAACTGTCTTGTGAAATTACTGCATTCGGTTCTAGAACATGGGCATATCTTGGATTTTGGTAAACTTGCTTGAAAATATAGATTACAGATGTCAAAATTGGTGATCGAGCTACTTTGACAATACCCATGAAAGGGGTGGAAATTTTCTGACCTATGATTTTGAGGACTACTTTACTAGCGACCATGACTTCCTCTAGTCTAGAAATCCCTTCCATGATGGTTTTTAACGCGCTAAGATTGAACACAACGTGATGCTTTAGTGACTAATGTAAAAAATTAGTAGACAGTTAATGTTGGTATATGCCTAATATATAATTTGGATTAGAATTCTCGTTGTGTTTGATTGATTTTATTTTCCATGAAAAATGTCAATTTTCACCATATTTTATATTTTTGGAGTGTTTGATAAACTTTTTTTCCCAAAAGTTGATCACGTGATCATAATTTCTTCAAAAATAAGAAAAACGTTTTCTTTAAGGAGATGTATGTTTTTATTTTTAGGCAATTCACACACTATCCCTCTCATCCACCACTCTCTCATCCGTCCACTAATAAAAGTGTAACATTTTCTGTAATGAAAATTAAACTAATCAAACCCATTTAGAGTCTGTTTAATAACCATTTTGGTAGAAAAAATAAGTTTTGAATAGTGATTTTTAAAATAATGTGTGGTAAAAAAATGAGAGAGAAGTTTTTGGTATATGTGTAAAGTATTTTATTGTGAGAATGTGAAAATGGTCTTGTAGCAAACCATAAAATAAACTAAAGAGTGTCTAACATGCACTTAATTAATAATTTGCACGTTTTCTTTCCATACAAGTTCTATGCTTGCAATCAAACACACCCTTAGAGTTTATCTCGAGTTTATAAGTCCATATTTACTTGTGTTGACCTTTTCTAATATCAAATGGTTAATTGGCATAAAATGTCCCTATCATTTGCTTTCATTTCGCAAATTGTCCATATCGTTTCACTTTTGACATTTGGACTCTCGCATCAACCATTTTTTTTTGTAACGTACTCCACCATCTCATTCTGTTCATTTACTCCGTCAAAATGGTCACGTGCAGTCCACTCGTGGGATTTATCCAAAGGTAATTTGGTTAAGATTGGTCTCCTTACTAGAACTTGAGATTTGCAACTTAACACGAGTCTTATGTTCTGGAATGATATCTTGAATTTGTCCTGATGAGTTTGCCATGCAAAAATTGAATATGATTGGTAAATATCGAGTTGCAATCTCGAGTTATCAATGCAAAAATTGAATATGATTGGTAAATATCGAGTTGCAATCTCGAGTTATCAATGCAAAAATTGAATATAGTGGATAAATATCAAGTAGGCTGCACAAATCTCGAATTTGCTCCACTATTGAATTTTAAATTTCCTTTTTTACGTTAAACTCTAAATTCAACTATATATTTCCAATTATATAATTTTCCTGTGGAGATTTATGTAACAAAAGTTATGAGCTAATTTCCTTATGTAGTATGAACATAGGTTCCTCATTATGCAATGCAGAGCAGATGAGGGAATTAATGCACAACTTTTATTACATCTCTCTAAAGGGAAATGATATGCCATTGACTATTAATTGAATTTAAAGTTCAACATGAAACAAATGAAGTATAATTTGGAGTGATAGTTGAGTAGACTCGATATTTGTGCAACAAACACCGTACTCGATTTTTGCATAGTAAATTCGAGTTTTACACATAAAATTCCATATTTGTCAGCATATTCAAGTTTTACCTAGCACAATCGAGATTTGACTGGCTAAATGCCAAGACAAATTCGAGATGTGACCCATAACTCTAGAATTTTGTTGAGTTACAAATTTTGAATTTTATTTTAACATGTCACACCTCGAATTTTCAGGAAAAGATGGTTAATTAATGTCTTGACCAAATTAGTATTGGACAAGTCATACGAATGAATTACATGCAATCATTTGATGGAGCAATTGGATATAATGAGATGATATTAGTAATTCGTGCAAAGAAGAGTCGATCTTAGGGCTATGATAAGAATAATTTGTATAATAAACATTAGGAAGATTTTGTGTCAATTATCCATATCAATGAGAATACTTGTAAGTGCTTATAATTATAAGCCATATAAATGTTATATTTATTCATTAGCATCTTTTCACAGTTTTGCTTTCAAGTTTCAAGCATTTTTCAAATTGGGGACTGTATAAAAGATTCCACTTTAAAAGCGTGTTTATAGAGATCCATTGCAGTAAAGAAAAAAGATTCAAAGAGTACGCTGCCAATCAGAGTGAAGGAGAAGAGATGGCTCGGAACATCGCATACATAACCGGTTCTCAGCTTCTCTCCGTCAAACGCCGGCCCAACATTGCCGTCGTCGATGTCAGGTACCCCAATTTGTTTCAACTATAATTTACTGAAATATATCAAATTCTAGCGATCCTTTTGTTTTGGTGTGATCGAATTTATGGGATTTGATTTTTTACAGGGACGACGAGAGGAACTACGATGGGCATATAGCGGGGTCCCTTCATTTTGCTAGCGATACGTTTCTTGACAAGATACCCAGTCTTATTGAAGCTGCCAAGGGCAAAGATACCCTTGTTTTCCATTGTGCTCTCAGCCAGGTTTGGTTCTCGTATCTTTTGTTTTCGCCTTCCCTCCTAAGCTGTTTATCATTTATTACCCACCTGGCTTAAATATGAAAACAATAATTAGATAGAGCTATTCGAAGTTTGAGCTTTTGCGATGGAACCCAAAGAGACTATAAAAAGCTCAAACGAGCAATTTGATTGTCTAAAGTTCGAAGGAGCATTCAAATTTCATGATTGGTGTTCTTACCGAGACACTGCATGTTAAGGGTAAAATCTTATATGGCATAAATATGGAAAGAGATAGAACCCCAAGACTGCAATTTTGCTCGATATCTTGATTGGGCTTCATTTAAATTTGAATCTGTGGTTTTCCTTTTGGCCTGAAACTGTGATGCAATTTGATTCTCCTGAAATTTGTTTATTATCTTTGTTGCTTATTTGCCCGTGTGTCATACTGTCATTATAGTGTAGCTGTGTTGTCAGTTGGAAGAAGGAATAAAGGTATAATCATTTTGCATTAATTAGTTTCCATCATTAAGTATTTCACCGTTCATTGATTAAAATTTTGTTTTACGATTAGTTCTATGACGTAATGCTTTGCTAAAGTTTGTTTTTGTTATGAAGGAGTATGCTTTGACACAAATATAGTTTGTAGGCTATGCTTGTTGTCTATCCATCAGACTTTCCAGTCTAAACTGCCTGATGGCCCTTTGTTCTTTAGTAACATTGGCTGTGTGTCACTGGGCAACGAGTGTTGTCTGATTTTGTGTGCTCTTTGTGACAACTAAGGTTGCTTTTCATTTTTGCCATTCATTGGTTTCATAATTAGATAATACGATTAACAAAAACAGATCAGGTTGTGAGCGCATGCTGAGTGTTAATTGCCACTCCTTGATGCATTTTCTTTTCTCTCTCTTTCATTCCTTCTGCTTCAAAATTAAGAATTTGGAAGCAATTACATTACATCCGACACCTGAATCACAATGATAGAATGCTTGAATTTCTTATGTGAAATGACACTTGAAAGATCAACTAGCAGATTCAAAACCCTATATATGCTATGCTTACGATAAGCTTACCTATTTATTGATTTACTCGTCTTTCTGATTTAAATGAAAAAATGTTCGAGCTTTTATTCTTACTGACAACTGTATTACTCAGTTCGGAATATTTTCTTGGAATTACCCTGGATGGATAAAACCACTTCAAATTTGCCCAAAGGTAATCTATGTGGTTTTTTTGGGTATCGAATGCCATGTATTGTGTGTGTCAATATAAGTGGGATGGACTGGAAATAAATTCAGGAGGGAATGTCAGCAATGGAAGGTCTGATCCGAGTTGGGAGTTGGAAAAGGTGGGTCAACTACTTCCAGAAATGTGGAATGTGGAATATGGATGGAGACAGAACTGTGCTGTTAGATACTAGATAAGGGGTTAGAGCTAAGTAAAGTGAACTGCATTTAAACCAACTAGAGTGCTTTAGATGCATTAAATTATACAGTTGGGTTTTGCTTAGAGATTGACAGATTGTGTAGATGAATGGAAGGAAATTGAAGATTTGTTTAAATTTCTGATGGTGCCTCCCAGATATGGTAGAGCCACAAAAAGTTGGTCATGTGCAGTTAGGAGGAGAAGAACAAACTATCTAGATACAGAACCAAACTTACATCAGACGAAGTTAAATGCTTGAGCGCTCAATCAAAATGCAAAGACAACTCCAAATGAAGAAAGAAAATACAGAACTCAAATATTCTCGTGGAAATGATTCTGCTGTTGGGTTATACATATAAGATGTCTTTCTTTCTTTTAATTGTTGTAGATTTTTATGCAATGGGTTATGGGTTGAAGGTTTTGACGGAGAGTATAGTGTTAGTTTTGTGTTGGGGTTTGATATGGGTTTGTGTGTTTTACAAGCTCTTGGGATATTGTAAAAGGTGAAGTTTCGGTTTTTGTACTTGGGTCGAACTCTCTTAGCAATTTGTTGGTAAATGTTTTCCTGTGAAAAATTAAAAAAATAAAATTACCACATGTGATCTTCATCACTGTGATTTACTTACTCTTGGAGTTCCAACTAGATGGAACTTCGACTTCAACTTAATTCTTGCTAATAAATTATTTCACTTTGTCAATTGATTCGAACACTCGATAAATCTTCTACTTAGCTGATTGTTAAATTGATGTTTGACTAGCAAATGCTTCTGCTGCAGGTTCGTGGACCCAAATGTGCTAGAAGGCTTGCCGAGTATCTTGCTGATGTGAAAGAAGATATGGAGATAAAAAATATCATGGTTTTGGAACGCGGTTATAATGGTTGGGAAGCCTCAGGAAGGCCTGTTTGTCGCTGCACCGAGACTCCCTGTAAGGGTGAATGAAGTCAAGTCTGCTGGAAGTGTTAAAAGCAAAAATAAAATAAATTCAATATAGTCTTGAACCATGAGGGGGAGTGTATTGATTTATGAGAGCATCAATATTGATGAATATGTGAGCATTGTGTACTACATCATATATGAAACTCTTTGACTTCTTGTTAAGGCAATAGAAGTGATGATAATGTAAGGTATTACATAAGATAAGAGAGACAATTTCCCATTCCTCCCTTGTCGAGCCGCCTCTGCCTTCTATTTTAAAGAGCTAATGTTTAAAAATAAGTTCTAAAAAATTCTTTATTTTAACTTTATAAAATAGTGGGTGAATTTGGCTCTTTAAATTTAAAGAGTCAAATTCCCTCTTTATTGTTAATGTACAATGATTGCATTTAATAAGTCATAGATTTCAATGCTCTATTTTCTAAACTATTCAAATCACATTTAAATTGATTGACCATTGACATATAAAAAAATTACATTAAATAAAATATGAGAAGGAATCAATAAATATTTCTTAAAAACGGCAAAATAAAGAGTTAAAATAGAAATCATTGTTGGTGTGCAATCCATGTGTAGGTCGAACTCTACAATAGAAACAATATCGGTCATTTGTAGCAATGTTTTAAAAAGCTCGCTTAGGCTCGAAACTTGGACAAAACACATTACTTCGTGCTTAGATACCTTCTTTTTCCAATTCTAAACGGCTGATTTTTTTCCCTCCTCTCCTATCTTCCGTAAGTGCGTTTTATTAGTTTTTTATTTCCTTTTTTCAAAAGTCTTTTATTTGACTTTAACTTATTAATTTTTTTATTTCTTTTCATTTGGCTTTAATTTTAAATTTTTAAAAGATTTTATCTGTAGAAAAGTTAAAATGATTTTATCTAAATAGTTAAATAAGATTTAAACTATGATGCTGTCTACATTATGTGATTATGACTTGAGACTCGTTATTTTGTTACAAACTCCAAAATCATATATGAAGTTCCTATAAAGCTATTAAGTAGGACTTGTTTAGTTGAAAATTGAAATTATAAAAAATATTCTAATTTTTACATTTCGAAAACTTGAAAATTGTATAATTGACTAATTNTTTTATAATTTTAAATATTTGATATGTATTATTTTTATTATTAAATGATTAAAATGATTAAAAATTTAAAATAATATTAAAAATATGAAAACACTTTATTTTATTTTATTTTACGTCTAAGTCTCGCTTAGGTTCGCTTAAGTCCGTAAAGCTTCAAGTTTCGTTCCAGCGCCAGTTATGCTTCACCCTTTTTAGAACACTGATTATAGTATTATAAGTATGCGACTAGATGAATTAATTTAATCAAAACAAATTAAGAATTGATTCAAAAACCAATTCGGTTATAGGGCAAAACAAGAAATTTATCACCCATTACAACGACTCAAGAACCGGTTGATTCGTCCTAATTTTCTTGAGCACAGGGGCGTGTTTGACTTATCCAAAACTCGGGGGAGTAAATGAGAATTTCAAAGAGTTAACCAGCGCAAACTCGCCATCAAGACTCGGTGCAGATAAACATTTCTATAATACAACCCCGATCGTCGTCTAAGCGCAAAAGGAAAAGGAAGACATTGAAGCAAATTGACCTCTGCAAAAATGGTGAATTCTCAATCCTCTCACCTCTTTGGTTCAATCTGGTTTTGTATTTGTATATCTATAATCGCTAATATCTCTCTCTCACACACAAACTAATATGGTGTAGGTTTGCTTGGCGTGTTTGTTACCACTCTTTCTTGTGCCGATCGTCAATTTATTGCCTGTCCTCTTCGATTTGATCATGGTATGTTTGTTGCTTGGCTATTATTATGTAATTTTATTTTTGGTTTCCAATTTTTAAGAAATTAATTTTATTCATATATAATGTTTTTAGGCAAAGGTATATAGGTTATTCGGGTGGGAATACCGAAAGCCGCAGAGAGCGCCCCCTGCTTGTCCATATAAACCATCTGCAACTGCAAATAAGAACTCTACCAGCAATACAGTAAGTCATACTTGGCAAGCGTGCTTTTATTTTGCAAATTTTTTTTTCTTTGTTTTTTTTGGTCTTTTAGTCGTTGGTTTGTTGAAATGTAATCCTATGATATTTTTTTTGGGTTGTTTGCAATGTGATTAGTTTTATTAGAAGATATAGATACTATGGACATCTTTTGTGATCCATGAGCAAATCTTTGCTAAATTCAGCACAAAATTAACTGATCCTATCTTTTACGTAATCGATCCTCCTTTTTTTTACTGTATACGAATATGTGGAGCTCAGCGAGTTGTTCCCATACTGGCCTTGCCAAAGGGCAGTCGGGGTCTTACTCCTTATAGATTGAGACATGAGGAAGGATAGTATCATGGCATTAAGTTGTCATAAACAAAAGAGGTTCAACACCTTCTCCGATTCGATTGACTACTTCCTGCCCCAATTCCTTCCAGGTATGTGAATTAGGGGGAATTGTTTGATCTTAAAGGAGATCTACTATAATTTCGCACGTGAGGGGTGATTACTTAGCAGGTTGGACCAAATATTGAGCTCTACGAGAATTCAGTTGCATCACAAAATGCCTATCAAGTTATAAATGCAAGTCTTATACAGTGGCTATTAGACTAGCTGTGATTTTTGGTACTAAGTGTTACCAATTAAGAATAAATTTAGGTAGCATGTTTTGATCATAAGGGTGTGTCTTGTGTAAATCTAAAGAAACTTTCACACACAAGAGTTATGCAATCATAGTATAACAATTTAGAAGATAAAAGCTGTAGACTATAATTAATATGGCCCAAGGTAGTTGTAAAAAATTAGTTTTCCTTGATGTTTCACAAAAGGTATATTAAATTGAAGGGTTAAAAATGAGTGAAGTGACTGACTTCAATATGATTAAAAAGAAGGCTTCTTGTAGTTACCTGCCAAAGTTATCAAGGTTTCCCTTTGGTGTGGAAAACTCGTAACTTTCCAACTTCAACTCAGTGCTTGTTTGGTATTGCTTATAAGTGCTTATAAGCAGTGGATCCACGAAATGTGTGGATAATAGTGGGTAAAAGTGGTGGGTCCTACATAATGTGGATAAAAACAGTGTTGACGAATTTAGAAGCCGTTATAAGCTTTGCCAAACATGTAATCAGGTTCATATTTGCCTGTGTGAATTGTACCTTCTGTTCCCCTCCCTTCCGCCTACCACTTTTTCTGTGCTTCGTGGCTGTTGACATTGAGTTATCCAGGTTCTATTTAACGCCCTCCACACTTAGTTATCATGCTACTCACTTGTTCTCTCATCCTCTTCCTAAGGTGTGCCTGTTTTTCTAAAGCTTAAGCAAATGGCATTTCAAAGGATCAATTAATTCGAAGTTTTTGTTGCTGAGAGCATGTTAGTACGACAAAATATCATTTAAAAATGCAAACTGGAGTTGAATATGTTTAGGGTTTTTTCAGAAAAAAGAAAAGCAAAAAAGAGTATAAAAATGTAAGATATTTGAAAGAAAAAAAATGTGGAAGGGCTGTTACTGGAGCATGTGATTGAGGAATAATGGTTGCTGTTCCGTTTTATCTTTAACAGTAGATAGTGTTTTGGTTGGTTGAATTTAAAGATAGCTGAGTCCATGACAGTGGAAAGAAGAGTCATCAGATTTATGTTGAGATAAAATATATTTTCTTAAGAAACAAATAAGACAATATTAAGGAAGATTCATAAGGCTTACTGCCAATGTCCACTTTAATAGAAAATGAGCAGCACAAATTGGTAATTAGTATCTCCTTTTTTTTTGGATAAAAGCTAAAACTTTAATTTGTAACCAACGTGGATATGCTAAGCTCCTGTTTGATCCCCATTATTTTTAAAATACATTTTTGTCTCTATTCTTTGCAACCACACATTCTTCAATAAAATAATATTACACTCAAATCCAAAACTTTTCTTTTTTTTTTAATCACACATTCTCATCAATTTACCATTCTAAAATGCATTCTTACAATAAAATGGGGTTCAAACAAGCTTTAAATATAAATGTGGAAAGTCTACAAAGACATGCTGCAGTTGTGTCTGTAAGTTATCCTCCAATTGAGGGTTAGATGTATTGTTTTGTTTTACTAAATAAGAGGCAATAGTCAAATATTATGCCCAACGTGACAAGACTTTGCTTTTGGAAATTCTCAGTATAGAGTAAACCTTTGAGAGGTATGATGTGGAATTGTGGTTATCCTATGACGGCTAGTTCTAAAATTGCGATGGTGAAGTGGATATTTTTGTACCTTCTTGGTTATGCTGCTGTATGCTTTCATGGATTATAAACTTATGGGATTTGAAATTGGTAGTGACGGCTTGCTAGAAGTCATTTATGAGTTTTCTTAGAATTAAGTTTTAGAATCCACAGGCTACAGTTATGACTTGTGAATTTATTTTATCGGTCATGATCTGTGCTTCTCTCTCTGTTGTTTTTTTTCTTTTTCTTTTCACCGTGGAGTTATTCTTCTCAAATTTAATACGTAAATTCTATGCCTTAATATGTTTTATATAGCTTCTGTACCTTGCTTTCATTCTCTCTCTTTTATTTTTCCGGGTAATGAATGGTATTTCTATACTACTTTTATTTGAATATAGATGTATATTGAGAATTCAATATATACTAAAGGTCCATATAGAAATTTATTATAATTTTCTGTCATTTAGATTATGGATTACAGACAACAAATTCCAATTACATGTATTTGGAAGTTTTAATTTGAAAATGCACGCATCCTGGATCCAGGCCATTTCTATCTGCAAGGTAAAATGATTGTTGAATATTGTCTGTGCTGCTCTGTGAATCGTTGTTGCAAGTTGCTGGAAACTGTGATTGGCTTAGAATCTTAGATTAATCAGTCAATTGATTTTACTACGTGTCCTTCTTCGGCTCGCATTCTTCAGTATCGGTGTTTCCTTTTTGCTAGTAATTTCTGTTACCAATTTTTACTACATCTTACTTTTTAGTTTCACCGACTCCCAAATGGTTATTGTGCTACAATTTGTTTACCGACAGGTTACAGGAGAACAGAATGGTATAGCCCCAGATCCTTCACAAAAGTCTGTAGGAGTGGATGATGTCAAGCAAGATTGAAGTTGGAGTTTTCTTTGTTATGAACGTCTAAGTAAAATATTATGTACGTTCTCTTTGAACTTAAAAAAGACGAATTGATGGAATGCCCTAAGCATAAAAAGATGGATGTTCACATATTGCTTAAATCAATGTAAGCTAACTTAAGTTCGACCAATGATATGTACTTTCTTACTGTAAGACCTAGTTGTGCTTAGTTCGTGTAGTGTCACATACTGGTGTGAAAATTTACATTTAGCAAAGCAGCTTCTTTGCATACTGTCTTTTTCTCAGAATTCTGTGCCTTGTACCAGGCTTCTGAGGGATTGCCCAAAATGCTTTGTTTCTATTATCTTTTAAAATGACGTTTGTGACCGTAAATCTGCCTGATAGACGTCCGTTTGTTTTTTCCTTCAGGAACCAGACATCTAAACAGAGAGTTAGAATTGTAGTAAATTACAGATATGTATCATTTTCCTTCTTGAAACTTTGTGTAGTGTCCTGTATAGAACCACACAAAGATTGAAACAGCACTCACGTACTCGAAGCTTGTCGACTCTGCACTGATCCTGCCTGTACGAGTACAATTCAGGAACTTGTGTAGAATTGTTTAACAATACAATATTAAACCAATTACCTGGACATTTGTTGCCGATTAGATTTGAGAAAGTTCATAAAAGGGAAAAGAACATTTCATAAGACAGGATTACAGCTTCTTGAATACATGTAATGATGACTAAAATTTGTAACATTCATGAAACTTTCATATACAGTGAGGGCTAGAAGAAAAACCTTCTAAGAAAATTTCGAATAAAATGACACATTATAAATTTTCACTAGTGTAATAGTTAACCCCTCGGGAAAAGTCGAAATTGGTGTAGCAAAGATTTTTATCGATTATCCATCGAGTTATTAAGAACCCACATTGAACGTGTAGAATTATTTTCGTTACGATAAATAATTTATGTTATGGATTAAAACTTTAGGACTATACTATTGATCTGGAAAGATACAAGTTAGAACGTATCTATATGTTTGCTTCCCGGTTTGTGGAATCTTTATGCTTGAAAGGCAACCGCAGCATGACGTTAAACACTAGAATTTAAGTGAAACAGTCCAATCATTAGATAAATACTGCTTATAAGCTATTTAAGTTTATTTTACTCATATACACAATGATACAGGCTAATATTCCAAGCAATACCAAACCTATTTATATTAATTTAGAAATTGGGAATATGGGGCCATTTACATTTTAATTAAAGCTCAATATTGGCTGAATTTTCAGAAAATTATATGATATTATGAAAGAAATAAACACCTATATGTCATATCTGGGAATATACTGTGAAAGTTCTTTATATAAGTGTTGCATGCCTATGTGATGAATGGATCAAGCTATATGGGTTCAGATCAAATCTAAGTTGATTCATTTGTGTCACTAGAAAGTCGGGTCGCCTACCTATATCTTTTTCGTCACTTTGTTAACTTCATTGCTGGATGCGCTGAAAGATCTGAGACAACCATAAGTTTGGCAATGGCTAATCTTAGTGCTAGTGGTAGTTTCTGGAGGGGGACAGCAGGCTTTGGTTTCCACTTGCTCTCTAGTCGATGGTTCACAATCTTTGCTTCAATCCTAATAATGTGTGTAAATGGTGCAACATACTTGTTTGGTGTATACTCCAACGACGTCAAGTCTTCGTTAGGCTATGATCAGACGACGCTTAACCTAGTAAGCTTCTTCAAGGACTTGGGAGGCAACCTCGGAATCATATCCGGGCTTATCAATGAAATTACTCCACCTTGGGTGGTTCTGGCCATCGGTGCAGTTATGAACTTCTTCGGCTACTTCATGATATGGTTAGCTGTCACTGACCGGACTGCAAAACCCCATGTATGGCAAATGTGTTTGTACATATGGATAGGAGCCGATTCGCAGGCTTTTGCAAACACGGGCTCTCTGATTACGTGCGTTAAGAATTTCCCCGAGAGTCGAGGAATTGTTTTAGGCCTTTTGAAAGGTTTTGTTGGTTTAAGTGGTGCTATTATGACGCAGTTATACCATGCCCTTCATGGAAATGATACCAAGTCCCTTATTTTGCTGATCGCCTGGCTTCCAGCTGCTGTCTCAATCGTGTTTCTACCAACAATTCGACTCATCAAGAATGTTCGACTAAAGAATGAGGTTGATGTTTTCTATAGCATACTGTTTGTGTCACTTGGCCTTGCTGGTTTTCTTATGATCATTATTGTTATTCAAAACAAGCTTACTTTTACTAGGATTGAGTATGTTGGAAGTGCTGTTTTCGTGCTTATTCTTGTCTTTGTGCCACTTGCCATAGTCGTCAAACAAGAATTCTATGCATGGAAGAGCCAAAAACAATTCAAAACAGTGATTGAAAATCCTCCTAGAATTGAATCAACACCATTACCAGCAGAATTGCAGCCTATATCATCACCTTCTCGGGCTCGAGTAAATCCTCAGAAGCCAGTCTCTTGCACGAAAGACATATTCAATCCACCTGACCGAGGTGAGGACCATACCATACTTCAAGGACTTTTCAGCATAGACATGCTAATCCTGTTCATTGCAACATCATGTGGCATACGAGGGACATTAACAGCAATAGACAATTTAGGCCAAATCGGAAAATCTTTAGGCTACCCTACTAGAAGCATTACAACGTTCGTGTCACTAGTGAGCATATGGAATTATCTTGGACGTGTTACATCTGGCTTCGTCTCTGAAATCTTCTTGACAAAGTACAAATTCCCTCGACCCTTAATGCTTACACTTGTCCTGCTCTTCTCGTGTGTTGGTCATCTTCTAATTGCCTTTTCCATTCCAAATTCTCTTTATATCGCCTCTGTGATCATCGGGTTCTGCTTTGGCGCGCAATGGCCATTACTTTTCGCGATAATATCGGAAATATTTGGCCTCAAATACTACTCTACACTGTTCCAATTTGGAGCTGTTGCGAGCCCAGTTGGGGCATATGTTCTTAATGTGATTGTAGCTGGAAAGCTCTATGATAAAGAGGCACTGAGGCAAATGGAAGCCAAAGGGCTTATAAGGGAAGAAGGACAAGATCTAACATGTTCAGGAGGAGAGTGTTATAGACTATCTTTTATTATTATTACAGCTGCTACAATATTTGGGTGCGTTGTTTCATTAATTCTGGTGTTCAGAACAAGAGAATTTTACAAGGGAGATATATACAGAAAGTTCAAGGAGGAGGTTAAGGCAATTGAAACCGCGGCCCCGACCAGTACCACCATTGCCAGTGAACCACTGGCATGAAGGAGTGGGTATGCAGATGAAGAATAGTGACATGTATCACTTTTCTTTATCGTTTGCACGGGTGAATTTTGTAATTCGTAATTAAAGAAGAAGATTAAATGAAAATCTATCCAATGAATGTCTTTTATTCATTTTGAAAATACAAAACAAAAAATACTCCTTAAATTCACTTAAAAATAATAAAAATATTAATACAATTTTCTTAGAATTACTTGCTCATTAATTTTATCAAAACTCATTTAGCCCATGTTTGGTGAGAATTAGAATCAGTTTTTAGTAGATTTTGATAAAAGTAAATGAAATGTGTGATCGACAAGTTGTAAGAAACATTAAGGCCCCGTTCGGGAGGGATTAAAAGCCAATTAAAATTGAAAATATGGTGGTTATTGGGTCCCACTCGTCTAATAAAAGTCAACAATAACGGCTATATTTTCAATTTTAATCCGATTTTAATCCCTCCCATACAATGTGATTTAAATGAATAATTGAATTTGACTCAAATTAAAATCTTTGATCTATACCAAACAAGGAATTAGAGAGACATCTTGAGTACATTACATACTTTTAACAAATTGCTTTTATTTTCAAGAAACGTAGAGTGAAAAGGATAATGAACTTCAATGAAATGGATTGTCATGTTACTAAGGGGTGTTTGATGCATTTTTTTGTAATGTGATGGAGAATATGTGGTTGAAAAACAATGAAAAGTTATCGCTGTGATGAAAAATATTATTTTATTGAAAAATATGTGGTTGAAAATGAGTAGAAAAATGAAAACGTGGCTTAATCAGTAAATAACATAACCATCACGTCGATTTTTATTGGGTTGACTCTTGACTTGAAAGAAATTAAAAAAGAAATAAAATTATGACATAAAAAATTGAATTAGGAACAAATTCCGCAAAATGTCAAATGGATGTACTGTACACCCCACGCTCCACCCCTCCTTAGTAAAAAATCCCTAATTTCGTCTCTCTCTCTCTCTGCCCCCGAATATTTATGTATATGTATTTCTCAATATCTATACTTCACCCTCGCCGGTTTCATCGCCGGGATATTTCAGTCGCCGGCGATCTATAATCGCTTCCCGTTCTCCTTATCCCTGCTATATTCCCTCTCTCCCTGAATATTACAGGTTTAGATCCATTTTATTTATTACACAATTACCTTTTTATTTCTTTTGATCTCCCTTTCCGGTTTCTTTTTATCATGATTTAGATTTTTATACACATCAATTAGTTATATATATATATATATGCATGTTTGGTGTTTAGGGTTAGGGTTTTTATTGTTATAGAGGGGGAAGATGTTCAATAAAATCATGAAGAGAGGCCACCGTAAGGTGCCCAAATCGGATGGAGCCACTGTTGATTATGCCTATGCTCCGACTGGACGGAGTTCCGGTCCTGTCTCTACCTCCAATGTTGTTGTTAACCATGCTTCCCGAGGTGGTGCGCCGCCTGTTTCATCGCAATTGCAGCAACTTCCTGCCACTGCCGGAATGGTTCCTCTTCCCGGAACCATTGAGAATCTACCTATGTTCCGGGATGTCCCAGTTGCCGAGCGGCAGAGTTTATTCTTGAGGAAACTCCAAATCTGCTACTTTCAATTTGATTTCTTGGATACCCTTAAGATGGTGAGAGAAAAGGAGATTAAAAGACAAACCCTTGTGGAGCTTGTAGAGTTTATTCAATCCGGGTCGGGTAAAATTTCTGAAAGCAATCAAGAGGAAATGATACGAATGATATCCTTGAATATTTTCCGATGCTTGCCTCCGGCCTCTCATGAAAACACAGGCTCGGAAAATCTAGACCCGGAAGAGGAAGAGTCTTACCTCGACCCTTCTTGGCCCCATTTACAGTTGGCTTATGAATTGCTGTTGCGGTATGTGGTTTCATCTGATACGGATACGAAGATTGCAAAGCGATATATTGATCATTCTTTTGTGCTGAAGTTGCTTGATTTGTTTGATTCTGAGGATATGAGGGAGAGGGAGTATTTGAAGACAATACTGCATAGAATATATGGAAAGTTCATGGTGCATAGGCCATTTATTAGGAAGGCAATAAATAATATTTTCTATCGGTTTATATATGAAACGGAGAGGCACAGTGGAATTGGAGAACTTTTGGAGATTCTTGGAAGTATAATTAATGGATTTGCACTGCCAATGAAGGAGGAGCACAAATTGTTTCTTGTCCGGGCTTTGATACCACTCCACAAGCCCAAAACAGTAGCAATTTACCATCAGCAGTTATCGTACTGCATTACGCAGTTTGTGGAAAAAGACTACAAATTGGCAGATACTGTTATAAGGGGTTTGTTGAAGTACTGGCCAGTCACCAATTGCCAAAAGGAAGTTCTTTTTCTTGGGGAACTCGAGGAAGTTTTGGAGGCAACCCAGGCTGCAGAGTTCCAGCGTTGCATGGTCCCTCTTTTCAGACAGATTGCTCGTTGCCTCAACAGCTCTCACTTTCAGGTGCAACACAATCACTTGGTTCCTTTTAGTCAGTTTCTATGCACATTTACTTCTTGATTTATATTACTTGTTCTGCAAATTTTTGTATGAATCTTGTTAGTGTTACATTTTAATGTGCTCAATTAATGCTGCTGATTTTCTTTGCATGAAATAATGAATACTGGTTGGATGGTAAAAATATTCGTGATCTGGATGCATCTTTGTTTTAATTGTTATTCTTTCGGTGGTGATAGTGATGGTATCTTTTCTTGCTTCTGTTGTTTTTGTGCCTGGCATTGTTGTCCTCTCTTTTTCTTTACTCAAGATACTACATTTACTCAGCTTTTACTTTATGTATTGATTTGTCAAACTAGACATGCTTTTCGATCTGTATCTCACACTTAATTGAATAATGATGTTGGCGCATGAACCTTTTGGCGTGATGTTGGTTCATTTGTAAGGATTTGAGCCTAAATATGATGCACTTCCCATGTTTGTGCAATGTTGACTCTGCCTTAGTGATGGAAAATTTTAAATTTTTAATTATAGTCCATTTTGGTCTTCTGGTTTTTTTTCTCAATTTCTGCCACCTTTTGGATATATCATCAGATTTGATCTTTAGTGAGAATGCCAAAATAATCTCAGTGCTTTATACAGCTTTTTTCATAACTAGCACTTCTATTCACCATTTCTGGAAGATGGACATTAGAATTTTGGATGTGATCATATGTCTCCCTTTTAGTTTTGGCTACAAAAGTTATCCTAAAGGAATGTTGTAAGCTTGGTCCCATTAAATATACTATGATTTTTTCCCTCAAATTATCTTGTGTAGTTCAATTTCTTGAGGTTGGCAATAAGTTATAACCCTGATCCTTTTGTGATGAGGAGAGAAACGTGGACCTCATTATTTATTTTCACCCACTACTTTAGATGTGATTTTGGTGACTTGCTCAACTAAAGGTTTCCCGGTCAAAGTAATGCAAAGTTGACATTCAACATCTTTTTTCACTCTAATTGACTCACATTAAGTAACTGTGACTTTTTTGTTTTAATACCCTTCATCATTAGCCTTTTCCTCTTGTGCTTGTACACTTCAATTTATTTAATGGTTATTGATAAATTTTATCATGCTTAGCTTGATACTGGGCAGTAGAAAAATGTAGTGCTGAAGAACCTTGTAGCTGGTCGCTGATCCTGGGCCAGAAATGATCTTTGAATCCCATCTTGGTCTTTTTCAACTTGTAGATTCGTCGATGTGGTTTTTTGAAACTTCCTTTATTGCTTAATCAATACTAATTGAAGGTGTTTCCTGTGGAAAGCCTACCTCTAAACTACAAGTTTAGAATCCTTCTGCACTAGAAGGTGTTCTCCAATAACAAGTTGGTGTTGTCGAGAAAAAATAAAACTAGTACATGTATTTGGAACCTATTAGTTATATATTTGCAAAATAAATCTATGGTTTGCAGGATTATAAATAAGCGTCCCATTCCAAATTATGAAAGGAAGGGGGGGTCTTTTGTCCTATTTCATGCATACACGTCATAATGCCAATTTTTGCTTGGAATTTGCATGCACGAGCAATTGCAAAATACTCATTAAATTAATGAGCCGTTGTTTGTATATTTTTGTTAGATTTGATACGAGAAGAATATGGAAACCTTTTCTGTATTGAAAATAGATACACCCAATTCCTTTGTTACATGGTGGAACATATATGATGGAGATCATAGTAGATATATTTTTTAAGACTTTCCAAGTTTGGATTCTTATTTTAAGAAAAAGGTTTATCGTATAAATTTTTTAATATTTTATGTTATTTCTTTAGTTGTTTCTAACTTAAATTAGATTAGTTAAAACATTATAAAGGGGGCTTTTGCATTTTATTTTACACACTTGATTATTGAATAAACAAAGATTTTCCTCTAATTTCTCTCAACATTTGCATGCTAATTGACTTAATTCTTTCATTTACGTATAATTTCAAATAAAAGTCTTGGTTTCCAAAATCAAAATATTATTTTGTCTACCATTTCATGTACAATGAACTCAAGCTTTAGAACCATTTGGTTCAATAAAAAAGGCCGCTTACATATTTCGTACTAAACAGAATCTCATATTCAATTTTCCATATATGTGTAGACATGTGATCATATGTAGTTGTTGTTGAAACTTTTTAAGACTTAGGAATCCATCTTAAAATGTCAACCTTGTTAAGATGAGTAGGACAAGCATTTATATGTTGGTTAATGTTTCATATTTATTCAATGTGAGATTTATCCCATGATGGTGGCTCGTTTGAGCAAACTAATTTTGAAATTTGTGTGTTCATTTGAGTTTTAATCAGATTGAATTACTCGTTTGTGTTTAATGGACTACTACTTCAAGTACTTCTAAAAAGTCAACCTAAAGTCAACCTTGTTAAGAGGTGGCCCAAACCCTTATATCGTGTTTTATATTTTTCATATATATTCAATGTGGAATTTATTCCTTACAAAACTGTAACCAATACTGCAAAACGAGATAGCAACAATTTGTGTGGAAC